TGTTATCTCTACACGTATAACATATTTGTGTTCTCTTTGTATTTTTGGTCGTACTCTTTGTTTTCTAAACTATATATATTTTGATTTAATCATACTTTATAACTTAAAGCCCAAAATACTTTAGTTTTTTATTTTATTTTATTTTACGGTTAAGTTTAATTGTGGACATAGTCCTTAAAATTTTCTATGTTATTTGTTTTATTATTAAGATTGTATCTTCTTTTATTTTAATAAAAATCAGTATCGTTTCAAGATTATGAGATATCAAAACACTTTCTAATATTTTATGCAAAATTACAATAGAAAGGTATGATATTTATCTTCAAAGTATTTAATAAATCGTAGCTTGTACAAATGAATAAATATAAAAAGTTATAATCATAAATAATACAACAAATTTCATTGATATGACTCAACACATTGTTTACCGACACTCATATGAACCACATGTTCATGAAACACTTTAGGGAGTAAATTCTTTGGATCATATCTATAATAATAGAATTTGTATTAATATTATCTATTGACACTAAAAGATTATAAATTATTTTATATTCGTATATCCAAATAAGGAATATGAAATTGAGTTGACACTATTTTATCAGAAAAAAAAATTAAGAAAATATATTTATTTTTGGTATGTGTGAAAATTGTATGACGAGGATGCCTTTTATATGAAATTTAAGAAAAAAATTTGTCCAAAAGAAAATAAACATTTTGAAATCACTCCCACATTTTCTCAACAATTGTATCTGATTTTTTAAAAATTAAATTATGACAAGAGTCGTTTGAAATGAATTTTGATTATTAAAATAATTCTATAAAAATACTTTTTGATAAAAAAAACATAAACACATGTTAAAGGCACATGATAATATATATATATATTCGAATCATTAGAGAAAAAAGTAGGTCTGTAAACGAACCAAACGTTCGGCAAATCATTCGTGAACTGTTCGGCAGGAAGTTCATTTATATTCGTTTATTTATTAAATGAACGAATTTGAACAAGATTTTATGTTTGTTTAACTACATGAATGAACACGAACAAATGTCTTGTTCGTTCATTTATGTTCGTGAATGTTCGGTAATCTATTTGTTTAAATTCATACACATCTGTATTTCCTTTCACTTCACGATAGATGGGGGGAAATACCCTGAATCGTTTAAATTTATGTTCGTTTTACGCTTGTTTACGTTTGTTTGTGTTCATTAGTCATTTTAACGAACAAACACAAACAAACTACATTTCTTAACGAACAAAAAAAAAAAGTATTCGTTTAGTTGTTCATGTTCGATCGTTTGTTCGATTAAAGTTAAATGAACAAACATTAACATACCTTCATGTTGATTCGGTTTGTTTACAAGCCTAGAAAAAAGTATTACGTATTTATTTTATATAAACCAAGGCATAAAGGAAGTTTTTTTGGGTAAACTACACGTATAGTACCTAAACTATCACTTGTTTATTTTAGTATCTAAACTTTATTTTTTAAAATTATACCTAATGTTTAGTTTATGTTTCATTTTGGTATCTCGTCGTTAAAAATGTAACATAACTATTGACGTGACACCATAAGGTAATGTCACATCACGATTGATTTTTTTAAATGTCACATCAACAATGTTGTTAAGTTTTTAATAATGAGTATCAAAATAAACCTAAACTAAAAGTTAGGTATAGTCTCGAAAAGAAAATAAAGTGTAGATACCAAAACGGAACAAAAATAATAATTTAAATACTAATAAGGTAGTTTACTTTTTTTGAAAGATAAGACTAAGAGGGAGGTGTTAAATAAGATTATAATAGAATCATTAAATGAACATTTTGTAAAATTTGATAATAATTTTATTACTTTTTAAAATTTTAATGACTATAAAGATAATTTAATATAAATTATTGATCATTCGTGTATTTTACACATAAATAAAATAAAGGTTTCGCTAAATTTAAAATGCCTGTCTGTGGGTGGAGAATTTCCCAACAATCCCAACATTAATTAGTGTTGAATAAACTTCCGGTAATAAAAACCAGGCTTGAACATTATCTAACACCTAGAAATTTGGGTCTTAATTTTATAAATTGGGAATTGCATAGCACCAACCTTTTCATTCCACCATTAATATAAGGGTTTCACATTAGACACTTTAAGGGTTTGAGATTTTAAAATTTTAGGGATTAAAGTGACAACATAGGTGACAATCGATTGTTAGATAGATAACGACAAATGAATAACTATTTGACGGTGATAAATAGTGATTTATGATGACCGACTGTGATAATATAGAGTTTGGAATAAATTTTTTAAAAGGTATGATTGATTTTTTTAAAATTTTAGAAAAAAAATTTGAAGTTTTTTTGAATTAATGGTTTTATTCTTAAAAAATAAAAACTTCAAAATAGTAAAAACGCGACCTGAGTCAAAAAATAATAATTTTTTAACACTCGTTATAATATAGACACTTAAAAAATAATATTAAAAAGTTAACACCTTCTTCGAACGAAAAAAAAATAAACACTCAAAGTTAATAAAAATGCATAATTTAAGCATTTATTTTCATTAAACTTATAATAGATAATTAGTTTATAGTTCCTTAATTGAATTTTATGTTTTAAAATAAAGTGTAAAGGGAAAATATGAATTTGGCTTTGTACAAGAAAAGAATAAAGTGCATGTATGTGTACTTTATCCAATAATAAAATAAATAATGCTGTCAATATAAATTTACCTTTATTATCAAAATATTTATGTATTGTTCACCGTTACTTTAAATTTACTTTCAAACCAAAAGCAATTGAGATTAAGGAGATTTTTTTTTAAATTAATCACTGATATCTAATCTATTTATCGACTAATCCAGATCGGGTACTACAGAGGCGAGGGCGACCCTCTCAATTTAATTTGCTCCATTCACAAACGTCAAGATCCGAACATCTAATCTTGCTTAAGGAATCTAGTGACTAGTCTAACTATACCAACTAATTGTCTATAGATTAAGGATGTTTATAAATGGGTACTCGAAGTTCCGAGTATCTATTCTTTAGGTAATACAAAAGTTTGTATGTGTTTTGACTTGTAACGATAGAATACTCATAAAAATTGAATATTCGTTAATCAAATTATAGAATATTTGATATAAATTTGTAATTTTTTTCGAGTCATAAATTTTAGAAAGATTTAAATTTAAGATTTAAAAACTTAAGAATTTAAATTACATAATATAAATATAGATTTTAAAAATCTAAATTATATAATCTAAAGAATAAATTTAAAAATCCAAAAAAATACTACTAAAAATTATTTAGGTTCATTAAAAACAATTGTGCAAACATAAAATTTTAAAAATATTTTTCATATAATTTAAAAGTTTAAATTGTATTAAAAAATAAAAATACATGTGTCTATGTAGGTAAATATATTATCAAATAAAAATGCATAGGTTCATATACGATTAATTCAATTTATTTAGTTTAAATGATTAATTTGATTCGATCGTTGATTTTAGATACCCAAATTGAATAAAATGATTAATTACATGTGCATATTTAAATATTCTAATACTAACATGAAATTAAATACTCGATTATGAAATAATTTAATCTAAATTAAAAATAAGGAATCGAGTTTAGAATATCTGATCCAAGCTAGGGATGGCAACGGGCCGGGTTCGGGCCGGGTATTGGTCCCTCGTCCTTGTCTCCGTTTAAAAAACTCGTACTCGTCCCAGCTTAAAAAATCGCGGGGATTTAAACGGGATCCCCATCGGGTAATCGGGGAAAACCGCGGGGAAACGGGTATCCCCGTTTAGCATAAATGATTATTTAAACGGGTATCAGGCCGGGTATATATATATTTAAATTAAATATATAAATATTATATAAATATTTTAAATTAAATTAAATTTATTAATATATATATATATATATATATAATAATTTTTAATATTTATCGGGCCGGGTAATCGGGGCGGGGATTACCAAACCCGTCCCCGTTCCCGTTTAACATAAACGATTTTTCCCCGTCCCCGTTTATCATCCCCGAATCCGATCTGTTTAATTCAATTTTCGATTTTTCCCGTCGGATTCGATTTTTTTGCCATCCCTAATCCGAACTAATATTTTGGCTTGGCCACAATTCGTGAACCCATGTCAGATACTTGACCCTCAATTTCATTTTCTTTTTAAAAATCTTGATTTTGATATTAGGTCGATGGGTCGAATAATAAGATTTGAAAATTTTAGACACCCCTAGATAAATAAAACGCATAAAAAGTAACATTTTCATGCCATATGTGTTTTTGAACAACTTTTTTAAAATTATTTTCAAAACCTGAAATTTATATTTTTTGTCAAAAATGTTTTTTAATCAAATTATTTATTTTTTCTCATATACATCATCAATTATTTTCTTTGATTAAAAAAATAATATTTAAAACAAATATTTGATTTATTTTTTAAGTATAGTATTAAACATTTAATTTTTAAAATATTAAATTAAAAGTTAAAAAATATTAACTTAAAGATTGTATAATTAGATAAATAATTATTTTTTATTTTTTATCTAATTAGGTAAATTATTAGAAATATATATCAAATTTTAAAAAATAATAAATAATTTTATATTTTACTTATCATGAAAGTTAATTTTTGAATTGTATTAACGTATTAAAAATATATTAATATAAACAATTATATTATTTAATTAATTTAATGAAATAATAATTTTAACATATATAATATATAATAATATATTTATAAAATTAAATGTATTTTTAATCACAGTTTTAAATAATTAAATTTCAAGATAATTATCAAATTACTTTTCGGAAATACTTTTTAAAAATGTATTGGTAAGCTGGGACTTAATTTTAGATGATTAAGCATTATATATGGGATAAATTAGTGTCACGTGTTAAACCAAATGGGAGCCGAGCACATCCATCGGTTTCACGTGACTTCCCCGCCACGCTGCATTCCCAAATATATTACTGTTAAAAAAATAAAGTTTAGCGGAAAATAAAAAAGGCAATGGGAGGTGAGAGAGGAGCAGGGGAGACAGCAATGACGAAGAAGAAGAAGAAGGGGAGACCCTCTCTTTTAGAACTCCAAAAACGCTCCCTCAAACAACAGAAACTCCAGGGGCGGAGCCACCACCAATCGATTCCGCAACACAAAACCCCTAATCTCGTAAACCCTAATTCCCCCCTCAATTCAACCCGCCGGTCCACTCGCCGGGACCACAATCTAGACGGCGGATACCCTGTTCCTGACTCGACTGACGGAGGAGACGACGACGACGAGCGCCAACAGAAGAAGCATAAGCTGTTGCTCGGCCTCAATTCTTCTCGTAACCAACAGCATTATTCCATCCCATCCACGCCCGATTCGGCCTCCTGCAGGTCCGATTCGAATGCCGATGGTGAAGATCAGGAGGCGTCACTCAAGCGTCACAAAGTCGCCACCATCGGGCCCGGATCTGATCAAATGGTGACTAATTATACATTAATATATAAAATGTTGGGCGTTGAAATAGGTTTTCGTGGGGTTTTCGGGAGTGATGTTTTTTTTGAAACAGAAAAAGAAAAGATTTTGCCCATATTGTTTGGATATTTATTTCCATTTTATTTTATTTTGAAATTGAACTTTTGGGTTTCGCGCGTCAATTGAATTTTTATTGTTGGATCGAAGATGAATGGATGAGTTTTGACTAAGTCATGAGCTTTTTTTTTTGTCACTGGAAATTTAGTTCAACTTTTTGATATTTGGAAAACTGGAAATAGTGTTGAACACAGTTTTTTTTCTCTTTATTTCCTAATTTACGAATTTTCCATGATTATTTTATTCTTTCTTGTCTTTGTATTTAATCTGACCTTTATATATGTGCAAAAATAATAGATACGCAGACCAATCATGTCTGAAAAGCTTCAATTTGTCTTTTCTTTTCTTTAATAAATAATAATTCAATGTTTGTGTGTGTGTGTGTGTTTTCTTTTGGTGCTCTTGTACTTTCTTTGTGTTGTAGCTTTTTAATGTAACTTTACTCTCTGATTCTTCGATGACCAAGGCAAATATCTCTAGCTATAGGTTTTATCTTTGTAGTTAAATATATATAAATATATATATATATGTGTGTGTTTTTGATTGATAAGATAGTTTTCATGCTTGCAGGGAGAGAGGCAGGGAGAGAGGGTATCGAAAGCGACAGACGCTCTTCATGGTATGAAACCAATCTCAAATTTCATGAAAAGGAATTTCTGGGAAGTCTTAAAAAAGTGTTGGGTTAATTGGTTTTTGACAATTAAACTAAAATTATTATTTGTAATTTATATGTGAACAGGGTCGCCGGTGGAGTCTGGCCCCACGACACCTTTGCCAGACAAAAAGTTGTTGGTGTTCATTCTTGACAGGCTTCAAAAGTATGTGTTATTTTGGGTTCACTGGATTTTTTTCCTCTCTTTTTTTATCCTGTCATATTTTCAGTGGGTTTTTATTGTTTGTTAATCTACTTTCAGGAAGGACACCTATGCGGTTTTCTCTGAGCCGGTGAATCCTGAAGAGGTGCATTTTCTTTTTCATTCTTGTATAAATGTAGCTTATTGATGAGTGGATTTCCAGTTCATGACATAACATTGGATTGATCTTGATGCAGCTTCCTGATTACCATGAGATCATTGCACATCCAATGGACTTTTCGACAGTCAGGAAAAAGCTTGATGAGGGAGCTTATACAACCTTGGAACAATTTGAGGTTTGTTTTGCAAGCCTTCTCTTCTTCATTATTTTTTCTCTTTTGGTGCTGTGGCAATCCTTCTCTTTGCTGAGTTGATCATATGGACAACAATCTTCATTTCTTTCTTCCTGGGACAAGACAGGCTCATTAAGTTGTTTGTCTGTGTTTCTTTGATGATTTTTAATTTGATATGAAGCTACCTGGGTTCATCTGGTTGATTTGTGTGTTCTCCTAGAAAATATTGTACACGCCAAGCGAAGTTTTTGCTGCCATGAGCAAGCCCTTGTTGAATAGGCAGGCATACTATGCGTTTTGAGAATACTGTAGTGATGTTGACTATGATGATGATGTTTTAGTTCTTCGTCTTAAGTCCAGTTGTGTATACAATTTTGGTCTGTTAATGTCTGAGTGATTCTTTTTATTTGGATTGAGGATATGGATCATTGTTCTCCCCAGCCTTTTTACATTCTTTTAAAGTTTATATGATAAAGAAGTTAATTGGCACTGCCAATTATTGTCAATGATCTGTGGAATTTGATTGCAGAACTTGTTCTGTTTAGTTTGGCATCACAACAGCTTATTCTTCCCTAGCAGACAACTTTATATGCTGTGAGTTGTTTTTTTCTTGTTTAGGTTATCTGAGAAGTGGACATCATGTTGAAATGATTTTGAAGTCTGTATGAGTGCTCTTGACTTATCTTGTGGGGAAGAGTCTATAGATTTTGGAAACACTGTATAAATTTTGTTAAGGGGGATTTAGTTTCCTGCATATGTGACATATGATGTTGCTATGTCTGGAATTGTAACTTGTGAGTTTGTTTCATGCAGAAAGACATTTTCCTGATATGCTCAAATGCAATGGAATATAATGCATCAGATACAATTTACTTTAAACAGGTTTGGCTTAGATCTCAATAAATATATTAATTCCTTTGTTATTATGATACTCTGGTTTATGTTATTTTAAAAATTTGGACTTCTTGGTTAGGCACGTTCTATGCAAGAGCTAGCTAAGAAGGACTTTGAGAATTTGAGGCAAGATAGTGATGAAGGAGAACCACAAACGAAAGTTGTGAGGAGAGGAAGGCCACCTGGAAAGAGCCTCCAAAAGTCATTGGAGTCATTGTCTTTTGATCGTGTTGGTTCTGAGTTTTCCTCTGATGCTACTCTAGCTACTGGACCAGATGCTTCCAGACATAACACTTACAATTTGAGGAAAGTACCAAGTTCACACAAGCCCCGCTTTGCTGATCCATATATCAGGCCCTCCTGGGGTTCTCATAGCAATGACAATTATTCCAGCTGGTTGTCCGAATTGGAGAACGAATTTCCAGGTTTGATGTTTCATAGTCTGAACTGTATATATCCTTGTTTTTTAAAACTTTTTTAAAGTTAATTCTTTTAAACATATTTTCATATTTGTATTGAGCTACTTTTCTCACGTTGCAGCTTCTGTTGTGAGGGCTGTGACGAAGTATGGGAAGAAACATTTTGCAGTAGATGAGAACAGGCGTGATACCTACAAACTTTCATGCGCTTCTGGACATGAGCAGCCAATCTTTCCCATCTTGGATGGAGAACTAAAACAACTAATTCCGGTGTGTGTATGTTTGAATAACAGCAATTAATGCGTCAGTTAAAAGATAAATCTAATTAAATGTATAAATGGCATGTTTGATCAATTTTAAATTTGTTAAGCACGGGCCTGAGAATCCTAAAATTACTTTCTTGCATGCTAAGCAATATAAAGTTTTCTGCTGTAAGAATAGCTTGATTTGTGCCGGTAAATTACATCTTAGTATATATTCGTACATCTAACCAATAGGGGCATTTATAAAAGAAAAATAGGAAACAATCCGGATGGGTAAATTTTATGTATCAATTGTCCCTTTTCCAATGTGTATCAGGTGGGCTTGAGTGCTGAAAATGGTTATGCTACAAGCTTGGCACGTTTTGCTGCAGATCTTGGACCTGTTGTTTGGAAAATAGCTTCAAAGAAAATCGAAAGTGTTTTACCTAGAGGAGTGAAGTTTGGTCCCGGATGGGTAGGAGAAAACAAGATTGAGCAGCTGCGGTTTTCGTTTTCCGATAAACAGATATCTTCAAACTCTATCTGATAACTATTCCAGCAGACTTTTACTTCTAATTGCTTCTGGTTCAAACTCTATTGCTGCAAGTAGATCTCCTTTGCAAGGTAAAGAAGATGAAGAAACAGTCGGAGGACCAAGCTCTCAAAACGACTTGACATCCGCACCAGCTCATCAGTTCCAGCAAAGATCTTTACTGCACTCAGGTATCAAAGGTTCTATTAGTGATCATTCCCCTCAACCCAGATTGGTAGTGCAGCCCATGTCAGAAAATACTTCAGTGCCTTCTCAACCACAGGGCATGGTTTCAGGTAGCAGCTCCACCATATGGCCGATGCCAAAACAGACTAAATTTGCTGATAGTTCTGCAAATGCAATGGATATGGTGTCACATGGGGCTACTAATGCCGGGCTTCAGCAGAAACCCGATAACGAACAAGACTTCCTGCCATTTCCGCCCGATCTTAATGTGAGATTCCCAGCACCGGGTTCACCTAGTTCTAGTTTGCCAATTGGTTCACCCCAGCGCCCAGATTTAGCATTGCAACTCTGATACAATTAGCCACAAATCCATTATTTCCGAATGATTTGACGTAAAGGTAATTGCAGTATTAGGTCCTCGTTCCCCGGATAAGTTTCAATGGAACTTACCACATTCTTCATTGGAAGGTTCATTGAGTAGCAGTTGTTCTTAAGATCAAATTGTAGGGAGCATTTTGTACAGATTGATATGTGATTTTTTTTTTCCACAAGTAAAAGAATTTACAGATTTATATTTCAGATTTAACCTGTTCATTTATAGTTCCTATTCGATGATTTCCGTATACTATATGGTTTGTGATTATTATTGAACTATACCTTTTGTGTCTTTATCATGAAAGTCGTGATTAAATCAACTTAACTAATTTGAATAAACATGATTAAATCGCAAAAATTAACAAATTGAGTTTAACTTGATCAAAACTCAAATTGATTTGAATTAAATAATAAAAAACAGTGATCGAAAATGGTATGAAATTAAAATGACTGGACTTTAAAGAAAAACCGACAAACGAACTTGAATGACATGAAATCAAAATAATGTACACCCGAAATGATTTATACCTAGCTTGACCAAATACATCTTTGTGCATATCACGAAAAACAAAGGTGCTTCAACTTCTGCGCAGCTGAGCTGATTCATCCACCGACTACAGCAATCACGAAAAAGATGAACTTTTTGATATGAGAAAATGTTGATTTCAGAGAGAGAAAGGCACCTTGTTGAGGACCCAAAGAGATTGGTTATAGGCGCGGTGGACAGTCGTAGTTCATGTAGTTAACAATGTTCTCGCTGGTGTATTTAACGTAATAAGGGCCAGCACCGACGGATGTAATTATATTTTCTATGGGTAAGTGTTCCTTCTGAAATCCGTATTCTTTTTTTTTATTATTATTTATTATAATCACATCCAAAAGATTTATGTTATTGATACATGTATCTGTTCATTCTTAAATAATAAATTTGAATCACGGAAAGAATCATTGGGTAAGCGCCTCGCCAACCTTAGCATCTCAGCATAAACTCTCAATGTGTGGTAATCTTACTCTTACAAAACAACTATTGCACTTTGATTCGATGGTAGTACAAGTTAATTATAAGTTTTAATAAACTTATTATAAGTGTTTATGAGTGTGTGCACGTTATCAACAGCTAAGAAAAATTATGAATAAATATTATCTTATAATCACTTAGATTATTAAAAGAACGACGTTAGAAATTAACAAATAATAGAAAATGTTACGTCTTGTATGAATTTTGATTCTTTCACTTGTTTAAAATTATATCCATATATAATTTCCTCTTTTCCTTTCTTACACGTTTTTAAAATAATTTTATGGAAGTAAATATATAATTATATGTATATTAAATAAGTTTACACATTTTACGAATTCATCAAGTGATTTTAGTAGTTATAGGGAGTATTATTTTTTTTCTTAGAGTTTCTAGTTGAAGCGGGTATATGTATTGTCAATGACTAAAAAAATTCTAAATAAATATTACTTTATAATCACTCTAGATTATTTATTTAGAGAGAGGTTCACACATTTCATTTTTATAATTAAATATATGAAACTAATATTTAACTTAAATTTTACCACTCCTCAAAATTAAATCAAATTATTTTCTCATTTCATTTTAGAAAATTAATTAATAAGTAATTATATTTTTATATAACTCATATTAAATTTGACTTAGTCTTTTACTTTTTTTAATAAGTTCATTCAAATAAAATTATTTAAAAATAAAATATTAATATTAATATTATCAAACAATAAAATATTAAAATAGAAATAAAACGTTTTCTTCTTAATTTTGCGTAATATGCATTTCTTAGCAGTTGGTTAGAATTAAGGAAATATTCTTCTGATCTTTGGGATTTTATTTATTTATAATTTTAACTCTATCTTTAATCAAAAAGTAAGGAATTAAATTGGTACAATATAAACTCAACTCAGGCCCTAGCTGTAAATGAGTTGAGTCTAGTATTATTGAATTTAACTCACTCGAAAAGTATAAAGATGAACTTAACTAGACTTGTAAGTTCGTGAGCTTAAAATTATCAAGCTTAATTCAAATTCGAAATAAAAAATTGAAGTTTGACTAGACTCGTAAGTTCGCAAGCTTATACATTTAAAAAAAAACTCACGAGCTATTTGGTACCGAGCTCGAAAGCTGAAGAGCTTAAAATTTTCAAGTTTGATTCAAACTCAACAAAAAATTGAACTCGAAATGTTCTCAGACTTAGCTCAATTGAAGCTCAACCTCGAACCCGAACCTTGAATACATAAAAATCTTATATTGTATTGATTTTTAAAAATTGTAATATATAAATTTTAATATTATTAATAATTTAATTTAAAAATAAAAAAATTAATATATTATTTCGAATTGTTCTCGAGCTTTTCGAGTCGAGTATCAAATAGCTCGCTTCGGCTCATTAAGAACTCGAGTTCGAGTAGAATTCAGTCAATTTAAATGTTAACCAAACTTTAACCGATTCGAACTTGAATTACTTACAATCTATCTTGTCTTATTTATCGTTCTATTCCTATCTCAACCCCAAAAAAAAAAAAACTATGGATTTCAAACGTACGAGTTTAAGTATAGAAGCATCTACTTTAACATACTTGAGTTACTCCACTTTGAACACCACCCTGCAAAACAACATTCCTTTCTCTCCCAACGGTGTAAACATACGAATCAAGAACGATAGTAAGATTTTAGGTTAGGATGAATATATAAAATTTTCGAAGGGTGAGAACTTGTAAAAATCTAAAGAGGCAAAAACAAATTATTATCTAAAATATATATTAAATTGAATATTTGAGGGGAGGGATTACTCCCACCCAACCTTCTTTGGATCCATTCTTAAAATGAATTCACTAGACTCGAGATTCTTCCCTTCTCCATGTAAGCAAACATACATATTTCTCATATCCAGAGATAGTAACCAACATATTTCAGCCTTTGCTAACGTATACCATGTCTTGTTGGATTGAATATTATATGTTCAACATCTTTCGTATTCGTTTTTGTGATCACTTTTAATAATATCATATCGTTAAAGCTTAATCAACAAGAATGAGTAGATTAGATTCTATTATTCAATTATTAATATTTGAATCAGAAGGGAATAAAGGCAATGTGAGTAAAGCAATACCCTCAACAAAACAAATTCTTTTCATATGTTCCAAACAATGGATCCGTAAAAGTAACAAAATAAAGTTGATCTCAAACACACACACAAAAATTCCTTTCTCTACTTGCATAGAAAGGAATAAAAGAAAACAACTGTAAAGAATATTAACGTACTGTATTTTAAAATGAAAAAAAAAGTATCGACTCGTCTGGTAAAAAGTTTTGTTAAGCTGAGTTATGTACCTACACCTTCGCATTGTTCATCTCTGCCAAGCCATTTTGAACCCTTCCGCTGTTTCAGAACCGAACCATTTTTGACTCAGAATTTTCAACCTTTCATCTTTTACATCACAGAACATCTTCTCCCAACCGTCCGGTTTAATGGGTTGGAACCCTAACCCGGGGGTCCGGTCCTTTGACATCGGGTTAACCCTCGTCCTCCAATCCGCAACGAAAGCCGATACCCTCCTTCGGAACTTGTTCATGAACTCGGGCCACGCTTGGTACTTATAATGATTGATCACCGCCGCCTCCAACGGCAACTCTTTCCAACTGTAATAACTGTCGTTCAAATCAAAGTGATGGATCACGTTAAGCAACGAATGGTCGACCGCCTCCAGTAGAATGATCGATTTGTGGCGTTGCTCGGTTTGTCGTCGACAGTTGTATCCCTGCATTACTCCCGTTTCTGGGTGGTTCTTTTGATCCGACGGCCCGAAATCGTTGCACTTGATCGAAACTTGACCGGTTGATCGATCGGATGGTGTTGATAACAGAGATTTAAGCATTGTTTTCGATGGTCGATATGAATTCTTAAGCCATGATGGTGAGAATATGAACTCGTCGACATCGACATACATCATCCATGCGCATGAATCTTTGAAATAAACTGCACTGTGAGAGAATCCAGCTTCTTGGGTTTTAGGCCAAACCCAGAAAGTCCTTTCGATGTTGTAATCTCCTTCTTCGTTGAGCACTTTCACGACTCTCTGGAGATTGTCGTCGCTTCCATTGTCGTATAAGATGAACTTGTCGACGCCGATCACGGAATAGTACATGACCCATTCCCTTAAGAACTTCGCCACGTTGTAAACCATGGTGGTGGCGCACAATAGCGATTTCGGCTTCGGGTTTGATGGGGTGCGCCTCGGGGGAGTAGTGTAGTATGCAACCGAAGGGACGACCAGCTTTTGGCTTCGGATTTCGATGGAGACTTTGATTCTTTCGGCGGAGGCGATCACGGGATGGTGGCACCTGAATACCTCCTGCTTGGAGCTGGTAACGGCGGTTCTGACGGCGTTCTTGATGTCGTCGCCGAAAACGCAACTGAATTCCTCTGGGGACTTATTGATTCCTTGGCGGTGGTTAACGCCCTTAACGAAAACAACCACGTCGGCCTCGGCGGAGAAGCACTCGTACGCCAAGTAGTCCCACCGCGGCATCACCGGCGAAGCAGAGGTGGCGTTCGGTTCCTTCTCCAGAAACCTCGCCAGGACAGGCTGGCGAAACGGATGAAGTCTTCGGTTCCTGTTCGGCAGAATGCACTTGAACGTGAAGGCGCCGCTTAAAGTCAACATCCCGGAGAAATTCGCCGGAGAAGACTCGTTTCTTGGGAAAATACAATATAAACCACCATCGCCGGGATTCAACATCAATGGGGTTTCATTATAGACCAGAACAAGGACTTCCCAGTTGGGCAATAGAACAGAAAACGAATCAACGGGACCTTTGATCGAGGTGACGAGTCGAGTTCGGCGAGTGAGCTCGTTTATATCTTCTCTAATAACATGGTTGAAAGAATCCGAGTCCTTGTACAGAGCGGTGAGGTTCTGGGGGAGGAAGCGGAGGTCGGAGGGGAAGGAAGATATGGCGGAGCGAGAGAGGAGGAGAGAATAGAAAGCGAGGCAGAGGAGAATAAGGAAGACGGTGATGGTGGTGGGAGCTTTACGAGGCATTGTTTGGCTGAAAAGTAGTGGGAGTTCAAGCATTTTGTTAGGATTTTTATATTGTCAACTAAATTCCCAATCCTAACGTCATCATTCTTTCACTAATTATCCACTTTTGTTTACCTATCATTCTTTCTCTCTCCAAAAAGTATTGATATTAAGGGTAAACTATACAAATAGTCATTAATATTTAAATATATTTTCGTTTTTGTCATTGAAAATTTATAAGTAACATATTGGTCACTAATATTATCGGTTTATAATAATATGATCACTCCACTGTCATCCTCATCAAATTGATGACATAACATATTTACAAAAAGTTAATGTTTAGTTTTACCTCTAAACTACTTTTAAAACATCAAATAGATCCTTAAATAAAAATTTTATATTTAATTTACTCAAAAACTTTATAATTTCTCATTTTTTTCAAATATCCCCATCACCTTTAGCCTTGTTTATAATTGCTGAAAAGGAGAAGAGTTTTATTTTATGCTTAGTCACCACAGTCTATCTCGTTTAACACCAAAAAAAAAATCCTTTCGCTCATTGCCAGAGTTTGTTTGCTAAATAATATCTTCTTAATTCTCTGTTAATTACTTTCCTCATCTCTAACATTAACCTTCACATTGCCTACTTTTGTATTCTCTTAGCTTCTCATTCTATTGCGTGTATATATATAGGGACAAAATCCTACTACACAATGTAAAATTTTTGTAATTTTATAAATTTAGGACCGTTAGATGAATAAAAATTGATGTGATTAACAGTAAAAAATGAGAAGATATTAACTAGAAAAAAAATAATGTGTTAATATCAGTCATATATTTTCACTCATCCAACGATCCTAAATCTGTGTAAAACTAATTTTTTTTACATTATAAATAGATCTTAACTCATATAAAGATAAAATCCTGTTATACAATATATATACTAAATGTGCGACTTCACACCATATTTATTTACTTTTATCAACACGAATAGACTGAGGGAGTACTAAAGGTAATTGATTTTTTTTTTTGAAAAATTCACATTTTCATATATTTTTATTTGTTTATATTTTATTAATAATTTAATTTTACATATTGAAATTAATATATATATCCGTATAAAATCCAGAGTCTGTTAATGTTTCACAGCACCTTTATATGTTGAATATCTTAAGCGAATTATATATCCTTCGATTGCTTCAAAAGTTAACTCGCCCCTTGCTTTTCCCTTTCTATATAGTATGTATTATGAATCTGATCCAGGAAAGCGCCCCAATCACATTTCTTTATTATTAATTTATTAAATTAAATATTTCAATATAAGTTATTCATATTATTTTAAAATTTAAAATTAATTTACCTATTTTAAATTTGTAAAATTAAACTTTGTATTAGTTTTTTTTTTAAATAATATTGGATTTTCTTCTAATTTCTAGTTTTTTTACCATTAATGTATGACATGACAAAAATAAAAAATATATATTTTAAATTTTCCACGTTTACAGTACCTTTTTTTATTATAAAGTAAATAAGTAAATTGTTATGAACTGAATTATATAATTTTAATAATTTATACTTATAGTTTTTAAGGGTCAAATTGATAAGTATGATAAAGATGGAGGACTCAAAATGTTATTTTACCTTTTCTATAATTACCAGATAAAGTTTATAATAAAATTAAATATAAATTAAAATTTTCAAATTTTCAAATAAATTTAAAGTTGGGTATGGGTGTTCATGATCGATTAACCATACCGTTTAAACTGAACGGTCAGTTAACCGTTATAACGGTTATTAAATTTTTAACTATAGCTTAATCATTAAGAAACATTTAATCATTATTAATAATTTGATTATAGATTAATCTATTATAATTTTTTAAAGACAACACAACAACATGAAAGTTTCAAAATTTTCATAAAAATTTCGATGATCGCAATATATATATTTATAAATGTATTTTATTTTTATAAAACAAATATATTATTATATATTCAATTTTTAGTTTAAAAACTTATGTACGTATGATTTAGAATTTTTTTCAATTATATTTTTTTAAAATATAATTTATTATTTATAATTTATTAACGATTAACAAATGGTTAATCATTTATCAAATTTATAATTGTAATCGTTAATAAACACTTTTACGGTGAGGTTCACCTAAACCGTTTAGCCTTAACCTATAAAATGTAATATTTTATCGATTAACGTTATAGGTTAATATGAACCCCAAAGTTGGGTGTGGTGCGGTGTGGGAGAGGGGGTTGGAAGCTTCGTTCAGTATGACATGGCATGGCCCAAATCCTTATCTATTAATGAAGACTTCGAACTTATTGAATGATTTTAATAATAAAAGAGACCAATTTATTATATTTATAAAATATTCTTATAAGCATTCCACTATTAAAAAAAAACTAATGAAGGCTTCACAACAAGGAAATCTAAAATCCAACAGAAGCTCAATACAAACTGAATTACAGATCAGGCCCATTTGAAGTTGGACCATTTTCTTGAGTGGGCAGATTCGAACCCTTAATTAGGAATAAATCAAAGACTTACTACATTAAGGGTGTTTGGTTGGGAGAATGTGAGATTTTCATGGAATGAAATTTACATTCTCGTTTGGTTGGCCGGGAATGTCATTCTCGGTAATCTTACATTATCAATAGTGGATTTTTTTGAGTATATTATCGGGAATATCATTACCTCCCTTTCCTTAGGTATTTTCAATTTTGTAAAAAAAATATATATAAATTTTATGAATTTAAATTTTTTAAAGAAAATATATAAATATTTTCAACTTTTAAAAAAACAAATATATAATAAGGACAATTTGGTCAAATATACATTTCAATAATCTTTTATTCATTTAACCAAACACGGTAATCTACATTCCTGCTAATTAAACCAAACACAAAATACAACATTCCAGTAATCTTATTCCTTGGTAATCTTTTATTCCCAATGATAATCTTACATTCCGTGAACCAAACGCTCCCTAAGGCTAAAAGTTAGAAGACGAAAATTTTATTAGTCATTAGATTTTGTTAAACCAAACATTTTTATATAAAACAAATATACGCAATAATATATTGACTGTTTTTAATGGTAAAAAATTATAATTTATTTTGAAAGATTTAAATCCGAATAATTACGTCATATGTATATTATCAACTATTCAAAATATATGTGTGCAAATTTTAATTAATAAGGGGTAAACTCCAAAAATAGTCACCAAATTGTTAGGTTGCTTTCATTTTAGTCGCTAAGTTTGATGTAATATACAAGGGAAACATTTTGTCTTATTTAGAAACATCACGTGGACTTGCATGATGCATTATTGTCCTTTTCTGACACAAAATCATATTAATATTGTTTTTTCTTATGAAGTTCCTAAAATTGAGAAAATATCCAACTCCCCAAAAAGTCTACTTTTAAGCATTTGTTTTATAGATTTAGACAATGAGAGGGATAGTCTTCCTTCTTCTTCCCAACCCCACAACCACTAAATGATTTGTCCTTTAATCAACTACTAGCACTAATATAATTCATTAATCAATTAACTAAATCTCATCTCATCATATGAATATTTATATTTAATTTTCATTTGTATAAATCATGTCTACATCAATGGATGATTGCAATGTTTTATGTTAGAGTACGCATTTCTAAAATTTTAAATATAAAAACTTTATAAAACTTTAGAAGGTGAAAATATATCATTAATAGAAAATCAAAATTATTTGATAATTTAAAATTTTCAGGCTCCTTCGATCCATCCCTGTGTACATCAACATGAGAGACAACAAATCAATTAATACAATAATAAAATTTATTTTAATCTTTAGAAATAATAAATTTATAATTTACATCTTTAAAAATTATGGTATTTTAAATTAACATAATACTAGAAGTTATTATGCTCTATTAAAAAATTATTTAATTTCAGATTTAATAAAACAATTTTTGTATTTTAATATAATATAAATCTCATCGTGTGTGTACTTTTTATAAACTTATTTTAATCTAATTCTGACTATATGTTCACTATCAATTTAATTTCATTTTATAATGATTTTTTTAATTATATTCGTATCATATATAATTATGGCCATACTTAATAAAAAAAACTAAATGTGGATATATTTAATTAAGACAAGGGGTCACCATGCGGGTGGTTGAAGGAATGAATCAGGACCGTTTGCTTATAGTAAAAACGCGTATGCCCCATCTAACGGTCGGTCCCATTTCCAAACAACCTAAACTCAACCTAAATTTCAAAATTGATTGGGATTTAAAGGTGTTTAAATCAAAATATTTAAATTGATTAATTATAATTTTAAAATTTTAGACTCAAATATTTAATTTCCAAACCTATAAGAATCAAAATATTTTTCTAGTAAGCTGACTTTAAATCTAGGATTAATATTAATGGAATATTTGAACATAAATATTACTTCCTATTATAATTCTAAATGTTAAGTTTTTCTCTTTAATTTTATTACACAATTTTAAGTGATTTTTTAAGCATATGTTAATGTTATATATATAGATTTTTTCTTATAAATTATATAATTGTTTATACATTTTTCAAAAAAAAAAATTATGTAAATGTGTCAAATATGAGGTATATATAGGGTTAGGATATAATTACACAATGCAAAAAAAAGTTTTACATTAATTTAAGATTGTTAGATGAGTTGAAATAGACGACTGTGTTTTTTTTCCAGTAAATATATTATCATTTCTTATTGTTAATCACAAACCATTTATTTTCACTCATCAAACAATCCTAAATCAATATATTTTTTAGTTTTAGATCGTGTAATTGAATTCTACCTCTCTCACACACACATATATAAGGATAGGATCTTGTAATTGTTCATACTTTTATAGGACCGTTGGTTTAGCGAAATCAAATATTGAGATTAACAGTAAAAAATGAGAATGTAATCATAAAAAATAAAGAGTTAATATCAACCTTAATTTTCTTCAACTAATTGTCCTAAAAAAATG